AGGGCACTGTGATCCTGGCAAAGAGCTAGCAGAATGCCCCATCACCATGAGAGGCGTCAGGCTAAGGCTGAGTTTCAGCACAGTCTGGTGGGAACTGCAGAGGCAGAGAGGAGCAAGTGTGTCTTCCTAGAGAGGAGGCTAGAAGTGAAAGAAACTTTCCACTCCAGTGTCCCAGGGTATGTCTACACTAGCTCAGAGCTAGGTAGGCAAATCAGGCAACTGGAGTTGAAAATGAAGCCTGGGATTTAAATATCCCGGGCTTTATTTGCATCTTCCCGTCTGGCTGCCATTTTTAAATCCCCCTTAGTTCGAACAAACTGCCCGCGACTACACGCGGCAGTTTAAAGTTAATCCGAACTAAGTCCTTAGTTCGGATTAACTGTTACTCTGCGTGGCATGAGGTGTAACAGTTAATCCGAACTAAGTCCTTTAAACTTTAAACTGCCACGTGTAGCCGCGGGCAGTTTGTTCAAACTAAGGGGGATTTAAAAATGGTGGCTGGGCAGGAACATGCAAATAAAGCCCGGGATATTTAAATCCCGGGCTTCATTTGCAACTCCGGTTGCCTGATTTGCCTACCTAGCTCAAATTAACAAGCTACTGTAGACATACCCCAAGAGAGGAGCTGGCAAGAATAAGGTTGTACAGAATAATAATGATGAGAACAAGTTGTGCACAAGCCTGGAGGAGGAGGAGAGCTAGCATCCCCCAGACCAGGACTGGGCAATAATGGCCAGTGGGCACAGGGCATGCAATACACCATCCTGGGCAGACTGTATGTGCTTCCAACAGATGCTTACAGGTTCTGCTCCTTCAGTAATGCTGTGGGGAGTTTATCATGCCAATGAGGGTTTCTTTATTTGAATGGTGAGAGAGGGCAGGGCCTGGGGAGTAGCTGTGCAGTGCACATCTGATCTGTGATGCAAGCAGTGTACCCCTCAAACTTAGATTCATCTGAATATTCCTATGCAGTGCGACAAATATCAATCAACCCTGCCTCTAGATTCTCAGACTGCTGCTGTGACAAATTGCTAGAGCAGCTGTTTCCGGCTATTTAGCTGTTGATTTGTGCTAAAGAGGAACAGACCAAACCAAGAAGACCACACTTCTGTCCAAAGGCTGGGCCTGCTTCTCCACTGCAGAGGCCCCAGTACTCAGCTGCCTGCGGGTTGAGTTTGGCAGTGCTCAGCATAAAGAGAGCAGAGCTGGTTGTGCACCTATTGTGCAGCTCCCCAGATTTCGGGGCCAGACGAGAACCCATGCAGTCCTCAGTGTGGCAGAAGCCACAGGGCTGCTGCTACAAGGCCCACGGCAACTGCCAGAGTGCGGAGATGCTCAAGCCTTGGCTACCCTCCCCGGCAGAGCTCTACACTGGGGGAGATGCTATAGAGCTGTTCTGCCGGCTCTACTCCACTTGCAGAATCTCCATCTGCTGTGGCTGTGACTAGATATGCTGGCTCCCTGCCTTGTCATGCCCCTGATCCTGAACTCAGTGACTACATGATTCAGAGCACATCATCCCCATTCTTTGAAGTGCTTCCTGACTTTCAGCTCTCCTAATGGAAATCCAGGGTGTTGCTCTTGGATTTCGCAGAGATCCCCTCTCTCCCTAGGAAGAGAGTCCCTTGATGGGTTGGCAGGGTTCTCTGGGGAGCCTATAATGGTAGAACCCACTCAGCCTTTTGCTCTGATAAAAGCCAAGCATGTTGGCCATCAGAGAATGGGGTAAAGTTGGCCTATTTCCTGAGGAAGGTGATTGTGAGATCAGCTAGGGAGAGGGTTAGAGGTTCCCAGTTCCAGCATGGTATTTTGTTGTGGCTCTGCCAGAGGATTGCGGCCTGCACCATTTAAGAAATAAGCATAACTTCCTTATTTCTATGGATGAAAGGAAAAGTAATTCTCCATGTTCATCCATCCTGTGTGGATTAGCTTCCCCACCGGCACAACGGTCACTGGGAAGCCTTGTGCAGTAGGCAGTCTCTGGGAGCACTGATAGTTTTCACGAGCTCCCCCCACTCTCTTCTCCTCTCCCTATTCCCAGCTGCACTTGGCTTCCTTGTGGAATCTCTCAGATTCCCCAAAAGACATTTCTTCCTACGGAGGCAAGCTGGAGGGTATGGTGCGGCTGCAGGAGATACTATTACCACACACTAACTATCGCCCCATGTTCCTCTGCCCTAGTTCTGGATGTCTGTCATTGCCATTACAATGCCGATACCCTGTGGAGGCTTCATGCCTGTTTTTGTACTGGGTAAGTTTTAACCTCTCTCTTGGGTGTCTCAGAGAGTGAATCTCAGAGAGTGAGTGGGAGAGAGAAATTAAAAGAGACAGACAGAGCAAGCACACAATGGGATTTCCAAGCGGGAATTTGGATCATGGCTCTCACAAGCTGTCTCTGAGGAGTTTCAAAAACAGTCCAGATGCCCAGCCCCTGACTTTCTGGTCCGCTCCCATTCTCCCCAAACTCACAAATGCAGATCTGGAAATTTCTTCAGTGTCTGCACATAATGAACTGTGAGTTGAAAACAATAAACACAGGTCCTGGATAAATCAGACTTGGGGATCAGGACTTGACCCTTGACATTTAAGTTCCAAAAACTCAGGTCCCTGCCTCTTCAGCTGAAGAAAAGGTCCCCTAACTGGTACTAACATTAGGCCTGGCCTCTTGTCCTCTCTGTGGCCCCAGCTACGGGAAAGCACCTTCTTTCACTCAGAACTAGTATATTACAACCTCAGTCACACTTTATTAAGTGACTCATGACAAGTTGTTAATGACCGATTATTGATTTTTAACCCCAAGACAGAAAAATGCTATGTTAAAATGTCATTAGTGTTGAGAGTACATATTAGTATAGTAGAACCTCAGAGTTACAAATACCAGACTTACAAATTGAACAGTCAACCACAAATCCTTTTTGGAACCATAAATACATAATATGGCAACATTACAAAGAACAGTAACAACAAAAAGCAAATAGAGGACAGCACATTGTAAAATGTAAACTACTAAAAAAAGGGGGGAGGCAGCATTTTCCTTCTCCACTATAAAGTTTCAAAGCTGAATGAAGTCAATGTTCAGTTGAAAACTTTAGGAAGAATAACCATAATGTAAAGTTCAGAGTTTTGAATATTTCAGAATTACAAACAACCTCTCTTCCTGAGCAGTTCTCAACTTGGAGGTTCTACTGCAATTCAGAGTAAATGTTGTAATTACCCCAACCAAGCATTACAATGCCAGAAAATTCAGTTAAACTTGCACTTTAAAAATATCCAAACATATTAAGGTCATGCACAGTTTGGACCCCCAAAGAACCCTTAACTTTGCACTGTTTGGATGCCATCCAAAATATGACACGACCGCTCCCTACGCCCAGTTTTATCCAGTCAGATACCATAGACACACAGTAATCATAATTGTATGGTCGTTGCATGGTGTCACTATAGGGCAGAGCTAGAATTATTTGAGTACCTTTATTGTGCATTTTCAGATTTGCACACTTTTGGATTTATTTTAAGTGTAAACATAATTCCCAATTTCCTGGGTTTGATTTTTGTTTTGGGATAAATTCATCCACTCTGGAGTGGTTTTATCTTTTTACTACTGATACAAAATCTCTATCTTAACTCTGTCATAATGTTATTTTTGTTTTAACACCTAAGCACTAGTAAATTCCCATACAGCTTTTCTCAGCAGAGGTAACACATGCCTTGAAGAGCATGGCCATTTTGGGTGTGTGGGAATTAACCAGTCACTTTGTGATGCTTTTCAGGGGCTGCATTCGGCCGTCTTGTTGGTGAAATCATGGCATCCCTCTTCCCTGATGGGATCCTCTTTGATGGCATTGTTTACAAAATCTTACCTGGAGGATATGCTGTCATTGGTGAGTCTCCACATCTTTCTTTGTTCTGACCCTGCCTCCATGAATCCCCTGGTCCACATGACACGGTCTTTCCTCTTCCCTCACAACTGGAAAAGGTGCAGCAGCCCTGACGGGAGCTGTGAGCCACACCGTCTCCACAGCAGTGATCTGCTTCGAGCTAACGGGTCAGATCTCCCACATCCTGCCCATGATGGTTGCTGTCATCCTTGCCAACATGGTGGCCCAGAGTTTGCAGCCCAGTCTCTATGACAGTATCATCCAGGTGAAGAAGCTGCCTTACCTGCCTGACCTGGGCTGGAATTACATAAGGTGTGGTACCACCAGTGGGGATTGGGGAGAGGAAGGGAAACACAGAGGGAAAGGATCTGGCAATGGGAAACCAAAGAGGATAGACAGGCCACAAAGAAATGGAGCAAGAGTGAGAGCTGAAGGTAGCAGACACATAAATAGAGTGAGAGGAGGCTGAGAAACAGCAGGAGGGCAGGGGAGAAGGAGATGCTCATCCATGTGGGGAGGGAGCAGAACCTTGCTTTTTGGAAGCCCAAAGGTTTGTGTGTGGTCTCATACTCCTGCATGCAAGTATGTATCGGGCTGTATAAAGCACACTTTCCTCTGTGAGCGGGTTTTCTCTTAGGCTGTGTCTAGACTACATGCCTCTGTCGGCAGAGGCATGTAAATTAGACAGATCAGCAAAGGCAAATGAAGCCGCGATTTAAATGATCGCGGCTTCATTTACATTTACATGGCTGCCACGCTGAGCTGACAAACAGCTGATCAGCTGATTGTCAGCTCACGCGCTAGTCTGGACGTTCCCCCTGTCGACATCAAAGCCCTTTGTCGGCAGCCCCGTTATGCCTCGTGGAATGAGGTTTACCGGAGCGATTGACAAGGGCTTCCCTTGTTGATCGCGGAGCGTCCAGACTACTGCGCTGTGCTGCCAGACAGCTGATTGGGGGGAATGTCCAGACTAGCGCGCGAGCCGACAAACAGCTGATCAGCTGTTTGTCAGCTCAGCGTGGCAGCCATGTAAATGTAAATGAAGCCGCGATCATTTAAATCGCGGCTTCATTTGCCTTTGCTGAACAAACAAATCTACATGCTTCTGCCGACAGAGGCATGTAGTTTAGACGTACCCTTAGACATATTTGAGTGACAGATTAAACCCTCTCTTTATTTTCTTTGTTCCTCCAGCAAATACAATATCTTTGTTGAGGATATCATGGTCTGTGATGTGAAATTCATTTCCTCCACTTGTACATATAAGGACCTGCAGACTCTGCTTCAGAGCACCACTGTCAAGACCTTGCCTCTGGTGGATTCACCAGGTAAGCAGTATGGGAAATCTGACTGTTTTTGAAGCCTGATTGACTGAAAGGCTGTGTCTAGACTACATGCCTCTGTCGGCAGAGGCATTTAGATTAGACAGATCAGCAAAGGCAAATGAAGCCGTGATTTAAATGATCGCGGCTTCATTTACATTTACATGGCTGCTGCACTGAGCCAACAAACAGGTGATCAGCTGTTTGTCGGCTCGCGCGCTAGTCTGAACATTCCCCCTGTCGACATCAAAGCACTTTGTCGGCAGCCCCGTTCAGAAAAGGGCAACAAAAATGATTAGGGTACCATATGAAGAGAGTTTAAAAAGACTTGGACTCAGCTTAGAAAAGAGGAGAGAAGGGGGGAGTATGACAGAGGTCTACAAAATCATGACTGGTATAGAAAAAGTGAATAAGGAAAAGTTATTTACTTGTTCCTATAATATAGGAACTAAGAGTCATGAAATGAAATTAATAGGTAGAAGGTTTAAAACAAACAAAGGGAAGTTTTTTTTTTCACACAGCGCATAGTCAACCTGCGGAACTCCTTGCCAGAGGATGTTGTGAAGACTGGGACTTCAACAAGGTTCAAAAAAGTGCTAGATAAATTCATGGAGGTTAGGTCCATCAATGGATATTAGCCAGGATGGGTAGGAATGGTGTCCTTAGCTTATGTTTGTCTGGAAATGGATGACAGGAGAGGGATCACATAATGATTACGTGTTGTGTTCACTCCCTCTTGGGCACCTGGCATTGGCCACTGTTGGCAAACAGGACACTGGGCTAGAGGGACCTTTGGTCTGACCCAGTATGGACTTTCTTATGTTCATATATATATACTTTTGAGCTACACAAATTGCATAGCTTATTTCAAGTTAATTTCTAAATAGCTTATTTCGTAATTTGACATTGTCTACACCGTGACAAATTTTGAAATAAATCGCTATTCCAAAATGTCCCTTAATCCTCATGGAATGAGGTTTATTGGGACATTGATCTAGTGTGCCCATTATTTCGAAAGCTATTTTGAAATGACGGACGTGCCATCAAGACGCAGAAAACGCTATCGTAAGTATCTTGAAATAGCACTGCTGTCTAGACACACCCTTCGGTGTCACAGGACGACTCATTTTTTTTTTAAGTTACAGACTAACACAGCTACCCCTCTGAGACCTGTCCAAAAAGCCCTCCTCCCCATGCCTCAGTTTCTCTATAGGGAAAATGGGAGTGATCATGCTCCTTATCCACATGGATAAAGTGCTTTGAGATCTTTAGATGAAGAACATGATTACTTTCCTGCTTTGGTTGGAGTGGATGTCAGCTGTCCATTGTGCTAGAGAGACAGGATATCGTTGTAATGCTACCCAGGAAATTATTTGCTGAGGCTGCTGAACAGACTGCCCCTGTTTTCTCTGGCTCCGGAGCTCGCAGACTAATAATCAGTGCCTGTGCTGCCTTGTGTAGATGCACAGGGATTCCCTGTCATGAAAGAGACAGCTGACTATAATGCCTCCAGTTGTCTGGGAGGAAAAAGCTCAGGCCTGAGCATTTTTAAGATGAGAGGATTGGAAGGAGCGTTTGGCAGCTGGAAATGGAATAGGCATTTGTTGTGGGGTTTGTGAGGGCAGCTTGGCAGGGTGGGGCACTGGAGAGTGTGTAGGAGAGGGCAGCAGATGGAAGAAGACTGACAGGATCAGTAAAGGTGTGTGCATATGTGGAGTGGTTGCAGGGATGGGTGTTACATTTAAGAACACTGGCCTGTCGTCAGGCAGAGATGAGTCTCAGCAGCAATTTTGTTCTCATACAAATCCTTCGACTGGCTCCCCATGTTACCTTCTCCTACAGAGACCATGATCTTGCTGGGCTCTGTGGAGCGGTCGGAGCTGCAGGCTCTTCTCCAGAGGTATATTGGTCAGGAGCGGCGCCTGCACATCATCAAGGAGATGCAGCAGAAGCTGGCTGAGGCACCCTATGATGGGCACAGCAAAGTGCCCAGCTGGAAGCGCGAATCTTTTGCTTTTGTGGATGAGGATGAGGATGAAGAGGAGAAGGCAGAGGTAAGGGGAGAGGGGAAAGAGAGAGCGCCCTGGTCCACACTGAGAACTTATGTTAGTATAACTCAGTCACTTAGGCATCTAGAAAATTCACACACCAAGCGGTGATGCAGTTACAATGGCTGAACGCCCAGTGTAGAAAGCGCTAAAAGCCCAGGAGGGATTCTCCTATAATTACTGTAATACCCACACTGATGAAAGAGCATCTCCTGTCAGCATAGGCATGTCTTTCCTACACACTACAGCAGCCCAGGAACCCTAGGGGTGCACACAAGCCCTGAGAAGCAGAGAGAAACTGGGAGAGGGAAGGAAAGGAGTCAGTCGGGGTGATTCTTGTTTTATTTCTTTTCTCTTGGTAGTCACCTCAGCACCCCTCTGCTGCTCCCAGCCACCCTGAAGAACCCAATGGTCCAGTGGCTCCTCATAAGCCAGTGCCAGAAACTCCAGGGCCCCAGGAAACCCCAGGTATGATGACCACCAGAGTGCCCCAGCCTGCCACATCCCAGGCAGCCCTGGAAAAGCAACACTGCCTGTTTCTTGTGTGAGTGTGAGGGGCTGAGGCTATACTGGTTAGAATTATTTCACTGAAACAGTTTGTCACTGGAAAACACTGTTACCAAAGCTGATTTTTTTCACCAAATTATGTTGCTTTTGAGAAAATTTACTACAGATTTTTTTTCAAAATATGATTTTGTTTCATTTTAAAATATTCAGATTTTATTTTTTCATTTTATATTATTCTTATTGTTTTATAGTGTGTCCTGTAATATCAGTAGGAATGTTACATATTATGCACAACTGTTATTATTATGTCATAATATAATAGTGGAACTATTTTATTTTTAAAAGTAGTACATGGCTTCCTCTGTAGGCTTGCATAGACTCATGATAACACGGGCAGATCAGGCTCAGCAAATGCCCCCTTCACTTTGTAGGACTTGTCACAGTGGCTTTCCCACTAACATCTCTTCTGACCAGTTCTAGAGACCCTACAGTGAAGTTGCCACCACTCCATTGTCCTGCCCATGAAGACTCTTGTCCTGAAACCTCACCCTCCATTTTCATCCTTGGTAGCTTAGACTACCACTCTGTGCCGCCTCCTGAGGCTGAATAGCCTCCTGCCCACTCCACTCGTGCACACAGCTTTACTGAGCCAGCGTGGTCCAAGGGGTGGATGTACTGTTACCTATTGTCTTCCTTTGGAACCATATGAGCTGAGCTCGCCTGACTCTAGTCGTGTCTCTCCCGTGATCCCAGGGACTTTTGCTGGTCCATGTTGCAGTTTTTACTTGGCCTCCTGAACTGCACAGAGAGAGCCCAGGGGAGGCCAGCCCTGAGGGAGAGAAAGAGGAAAGGCTCCTGGCTTGTTCTTGTAGCCACCGGGGTGAAAATGGGCCAGTATGGGCTGGCAAGAAATGGCCACTTGTACTGGCCTGCACACGTTGCTGCCCCTTTTGCTCTCTCTTGTTGGCAGCCCTGCTGGCGAAATCCAGCAACACTGGCAGAGCCACTGTTAGGGGAGCAGCAGGGGGCAGCTGCTCCAGGGCTCAGTGATTTAAAAGGGACAGGGGCTCCCGACTGCGGCTACCAAAGCAACAGTATCCAGAGTCCTGGCGGGAGCCCCAAATCCTTCAAATCACTGCTGGAACCCCAGGCCTCCATGAAGAGCTGCCTGGGAGACGTCTGTTTCCCCAGCCCCACCCCTTCTGGGGGCCCAGAGCTCCCCCCCCCTTTCCTAGGCCCAGCTTCCCCAGACTGCATGCTGGTAAGCTCCAGTACTTGCTTTCACCCCTGGTAGCCCCCCAAAAGGGAAGAGGGGAAGAGGGCCGTAGCCTCACTCCCCACCTCAGCCTGGCCAGTGGGGCTGGCTGGCAAGGGAGGGCACTTTTTTGCTGCAGCCTGCTGGGGATGTAGCATTGAGCACATTGGGGTCCCTATATGCCCAGTGTGGTTGCAGAGCAGTATTCCCGCCAGTCCCCCTACTTACCAAGTGGAAAAGGTATCAGAGGAATAGTCATCAGAAAAGGGCAGGGCAATTGCTTGAGCCATTTAAACAAGGCTAGGCAAAGCCCTGCAGCACAGAGGAGGGGGAGAGGATGGAACAGATGCGCCCTAACAGGGCTTTCCCCTCTCTCAATGTCAGGCCTGCTGACGGGGCAAAGCAGACAACAGGAATTCTGGGCCCCAGGACAACACACCAATGGGCCCCCGATCCTTCTCCCTCTGAGAGAGCCATAAACCCCCTCCCCATCCTGCCCCGCCCCACCCCCAGAAACCCAAGCAGACAACAGGAATTCTGGGCCCCAGGACAACACACCAATGGGCCCCCGATCCTTCTCCCTCTGAGAGAGCCATAAACCCCCTCCCCATCCTGCCCCGCCCCACCCCGAGAAACCCCGAGCACTGCACCTCAATCAGAGGACTCTGAACAGTCGCGGCTCCATCTCCCACATGCCTGGAGGTGCCCCCCCCACTCTCCTTTCTATCTCTGCCTTCCCTCCCCCAGCAGTTCTGTGCCCCCCTACCCCAGCTACTTTCTCCCAGCCATCCCTGCCTACTCCGGCCTGCACCACTCCACTCTTCTGCCTTCCCCGCCCAGTTCCTCTGCCCCTTCGCAGCCCTTGCTCCCTGCAGTCCAGTGCCTGGCTCTACCCCCAGCCTTGTCTTCCCAGCCTGGAGCCTCCCTTTCGTTCCCAGCCTGGCTCACCCTGCTCCGCTCACTTTGCCCCACTCCCCTGATGCTCCACGGACACAGGTGGGGAGTCAAAACAGCAGGGAGCTCCTGCTCCCCCCACCTCTTCCCTTTCGTTAAACTTTTGAGTACCTTAGATTTTACTGCATTTGTAGCCTTTTCTCCCTGAGCCTGGCACCCTCCCCAAACCCAGCACCCTCTGGACATAATTGGCTCCCTACGTGGCTTCAGATTCCACCCCTTCTCTCAGAGGTATGTGGATTTTAACCCTCCCTCTGATATAATAAATTCTATTTTGTGAGCAACCCACATTCCTTGTGCTCAATCATTCTCTCTCAGACTTGCCCAATGAACTGCTCTCTGCCCCCCACCCCCAACTATAACCCACTTACAATGTACTGATACCTCAATAGTTTGCTAGTATGTCTGAAAACATGCGAAATCAGTAGGAAGGCACCATACAAAGTACAGCGTATTGCATTGCACTTGCATTTGCAGGCTTTGATTGTCAGCTGCTATGAAGTTTTCCGTGACATGCAGCACTAACAAGCTAAAGGGCACTCTATTACCTTAAGAGAATTCAGTTGCCAAATGCTGAGAGTGGTAAAGGGTTTCCCAGTAGCTCAGTCCTACCATGCATAAAGCATGGAGCTGCTTTTTGGCTCTAGACACAGTTTCTCTAAACTGCCTAGGCTGCAAGTCAAAAAACCAAACCTAAACAACTTAGAAAAATGGAATCCTCACCAAAGACTACCCATGTTGGGGCAAAAATAAGAAACTAAATCCACTTACTGAGGTGCGGAGATCGTATTGGTGGCCTCGAAGAGGAACTGGCTCCAGGAATGTTTAAATCAGCATAAATTATTTCTCCAGCCATGGCAAGTACAGAGGAAGATGTGAGCGTACAGTTGTATCTAAGAGCAGCCTCATGTGGATGTCTGCCCTCTGGTGAGCATTAGCATATTTCTGTTCTTTTCTATGCCAGATCTTACAATGTGCTCCTCAACGTAATGTCTGAGAGACTTGTGTTAGTGCATTAGGCAACGTGACTAACACCTGTCATGTGTTTGTTCTCTCCTCACCTCCCCAGAGGGAGAAATGTGCAGCAAAATGTCTTGGTTTGGTAGCGTGTGTGTG